ATTTTACTTCAGATATTGTAATTGCTATCTCTGTTTACTTTATCATCCCTTTTGTTGAGCACAAAAATGATTTTTTTCATTTTTAAAAACCTCATTGAAATTAATATAAAATGATAAATTTTAGAACTTTTATCTATCAAATTAATGTTATTTTTTGGAAGAGTTATTTCTCAAGAAAAACAAGTTCGATTAACTTCAATCAATTTTGAAATAGAGACTATTGGTAATAATGCTAAAGTTAAGGCTATTCATTCAATATTGAATGAATCTAATAATGATTGTAATGTTAGTATCAGTATGACATTAGATGATGAATCTGCTGTTACTGGATATTCAATTAAAACAGTTAATGGAGAATTTGAATCAGAACTAAAAGAAAAAGAACAAGCAAAGATTGAACAAAGTGATGCAACAACAAATGGATATAGTTCAAGTATAATGGAACAAGTTGATGATACAACATTTAGTATTTTACTTGGATTAGTCAATAAACATAGTGAAGTAACATTTAGTATTGAATATCTCACACATATGGAGATTCAAGAAGAAGAATTAATAATTAAGATTCCTAATTTAATTGAATCTAAAGAAAAATATCAAATTCCATATTCAATTAAAATTATAGGAAGTTCAAAATTTAGTTTTAAAGGTATATTAAGTGGAGAAGAAGAGATTAATGTTCCATTAAATGGAGATTTAATATTTGGAATGAAAGATGAAGATACGGATGAAGTTGTAATTTCATCTACATTTATTAATAAAGAAAAAGAAGGAGATATTAATATTATTTTTATTTGTGATAGAAGTGGAAGTATGTATGGAGAAGGAATTAATGCACTTAGAAATATGTTACAATTATTTTTAAGACAATTACCATTAAAATCAAAATTTGAAATTATTTCATTTGGAAGTAAATATGATTTTATGTTTAAAGAAATGGTAGAATATAATGAAGATACATTAAAAAATGCATCAAATAGAATTTCAGAATTTGAAGCAAATTATGGAGGAACAAGTATGGATGCACCATTAAAAGCATTAATTGATAATAATACAGAAAAATGTCATATAATTTTATTAACTGATGGATATGTTGATAATAAAATAAATACAATTGAATATATTCATAATCTTTCAAAAAAGAATTCATTACATGGAGTTGGATTAGGAAGAAGTTGTGATATTGAATTAATAAGAAATATAGGTAGAATTGGAAATGGAATTTCAGTTATTTCTAAGAATGTAAATTTATTAAAAAAAGAAGTTTCAAAAATTACAGAACGTATTCTTATTCCAACAATTAATAAATGTCAAATTGAATGGAATATTAAAGGAGAAATAATACCAAAAGAAATTAATAATTTTTATGGAATGATAACATGTTATATTCAATGTAAAGAAGAAATTAAAGAAGGACAAAAGATTGAAAGTGAAATAAAAGGAATATGTAGAGAAAAAGAAATTATATACAAAAATACTAAAAATATTAAAATTACAAAAGGAGTTATTCTTCATCAATTAATGGCATTTAATCAAATCAGAAAATTAGAAGTTGAAAATAAAAAAGAAGAAGCAAAAAAATTATCAATGAAATATCATATTCTTTGTAAAGAAACAGCATTTATTGCTATTGATAAAACAACTAAAAAAGAAGTTGAATTTATCAAGAATATTAAATTAAATGAGATGTGCCATAAACAAAGTTCTCTGCGTCCAACAATGTTCTTTGACTCTTGTTGTGAAAATGACGCTCTCGAAGAAGATATGTCTGAAGATGAAGAAGTGTTTGAAAATGAAAGTAGTAAATGTGAACTTTTGTGTTGTAACTGTGGATATCATCCTAGTGTTGAATATGAATATAGTAATGGCACTGAGGATATGTCTGATAGTGTTAATAGCCCAGTCACTACAAATATAACAAAGCAAATAGCACAACCAATGATAAACTTAAAATCATATGGTGAGTGTTCCAATTTGTGTGGTGAAGAAAAAAAAGAATTTTCCTGTGACTCTGTTAATAAAGAAATTGTGTTTGAGAAAATTATTAAATGTCAAAAGGCAGATGGGGAATTTGTTGGTGTGCAAGAAATAATTAAAGAAATTACTACAATCCAAAGTAATAATATTGACAATGAGGTTATTCAAACATTTTTTGTTATTCAACTATTAAAAGAAAAATTCCCTGAAAATAAAGTCGAATGGAAGTTAATTGTTAAAAAATCAGAAAATTGGTTAGCAAGTAAACCAGCTATTTCTGAAGAGATTAAGAATAGAATAATTTCATTAACTAAGTTAATAAAACTCTAACCAATTTTTTGTTATCATAAAACTGATTTTATTTTTATTTTAAGATATAATTATTAACGATTTTATTATATATTAACATATTAAATACTATAAAATATTAATTCATAAAAGAACTTTGATGTGAAACAAAATAAATTTATTTTTATCCTTTTTTCCTTTCAGAAAGCAACGATGTTTAATCGTTATATATAACAATATACTCGTTACTTTAAGAATAACTAAGAATAAACAAAATACTTCCCCGAAAATTTCCATAAAATATCAATAAAAACTAAGTAATACTTGGAATCTTTTCTCCAAAAATAGTAATTAATTAAAACAAGTTATAAAAAACTAAAAGAAAATTAGAAAAAGTCACATTAAAACAAGAAAGAAAATTAACTTGAATTGAATAAGTTTATTATTATTTTTAGTTTTCTCTTTTTTTTTTTTTAAGAAAGCAATCTAAATCTCATTTTTGAGGGGAGAAATGAGTGACAAGCAGTCGTGTCACAGTTCAGATGGAATTAACGAAAACAATGACATTTTTCATGTAATGAATGACAGAAATAAGATACTCGAATTAATTAATAAAGGTATTAACGTTGACAGTAAAAACAAGTTGGGTGCAACTCCCTTAATGTTAGCATGTCAAAGTACTAATTTATCTATTGTTCAGTTATTAATACAACACAAAGCAAACATTACGTCAAGTTTGTTTTCACTACATAAGAATATAGTTTAGAATGATAAATTTTATTTAAAAAAAATTACTTAATTGATGTAGCCGATAAAGTTGGAAGGAATTGCTTACATTATCTTTGTTTAAATAAACTTGTAAATGAAAACTTATTATTAATTGCACGAAGTATGGATTGTCATCCGTTAACGCGAGTAAAAGATAATACAGGAAAAATACCAGTAGAATATGCTATTATGAATAAATTAGAACAACTAGCAAATTATATATTAGATATTGATTCAAGGGTTGACGTCAAATTATTATATGACTATAATAATGAAGTTGTAGAGAAACCGAGTAACGTTAATAGGTATGGATTTTTTGAAGTAGAAGGAGAAAAAGGAGAATTATTTATTGTAAAAAAGTATTCACATAAAAAAATAAATCAACAAAAAGAAAGAAATAGAAAATGGGAAAGAATGCTCGACAAAGATTGGGATGAAAATATTCCTGTTAAGTTACAAGAACGAGTGTATAAAGGAGTTCCAGATGATTATAGAATTTTATATTGGAAAAGGATATTAGGAATAGAAGAAATTAGTCAAGAATTAAAAGAAGAATTTAAAAGAAATACACAAATATATTCAAGGTCTCCTCATGACAAACAGCTAGATTTAGACGTTAATAGAAGTTTTCAATTCCATTATAAATTTCATGTTCGTTATTCTGGTGGGCAAAAAGAATTATTTTATGTTATGCATGCAATTTCATTGCATGATATTTCTTTTGATTATGTCCAAGGAATATCATGTGCTCCTTCTGTTCTTTGTATTTTTTTGGATAAACTTAGTGCTTTTACAGGAACATTAAAATTATTTACACCAAAATATCGTTTAAAAGAAATGTTTCAAGACTTTAATTTTATTAAAAAGTGTTGGGTTGTTACAAAAAAATTATTAAATACTAGACATCCTAAAATTGCTGAAAAATTCAGACAATGTGGTATTATGGACCAATCACTACCTTTTTTTATGTTTGAATGGAATTATCTTTGGTTTATTCACTCACTTAAATTTGAATTAGCAATACGTGTTTTTGATGTTATTTTATTAGAAGGATTTACAGCAATGTTTTCTGTTTCAGATACAATCTTTCATTTTATTGAAGAAGGAATTTTAAATGAAAAGGATCCAAATATTTTACAACAAAAATTGAAAAATCCTTTTACTTTATTAACAAAACCATTAACAACAAACACATTTATGGCTCATATGTATAAACACAGGATTGATGGAAGTTTATTTGCTTCTTTATTCTGAGATAATGAATTCTCAATAAATTAAAATAAACAAATAGATATCCTTATTTTTAAGAAAGATTAATTAAAAAGGAAGCACTAAAACAAAATTGTAATTGTAATCATTTTTATCACAACTTATTTTTTTTTATTTCCTTTTATTACAATATAATGCTTTAACAGAATGAATACACTTCTACTCTATCACAACGACTTGCAAGTGATCTTGGTACTAAGGGTGGATTATTAAATGTTGGAGATGTTTGACTTATAACATTTAAATAACAATCAAATGAAAGAGATGGATGTCCACTTAACAATGGTTAGAATATTACTTTCTTTAGTAAATAAAATTAAAAATAATAACAAACGTTCCTCCTCCAAAACTTAATGCTTCAGGTGTTGAATTTATTATAAAATGATTACTATTTTGAATATGAGAGTATTTTCTTGCCTTTGGCTTTATTGTAAACAAAAAGGTTTCACTATTACCATAAAAATCTTTCTTCATTTCAAATGATTCAGCAACAAATACACCAAATATATAACTACCTCTTCTACAAATAATAAGTAACAAAGAATGATACATACATTTTGAATATAATGTTTTTAAACTTAAGCCATCAATACTTGAAGTAAAAATTTGTTCAGGAACAAGCATTTGTAGTCGAGAAGGAAGCATAGTATATATTTCTAGAAATTCATCTTCATTGACAATATCAGAAATTCCTTGTAACTGTTCTTTATTTATTATTCTTCTTTGCATTTCTTTGTTTGGTGGGAATTGAAGTGTATTAAAAATATGTGTTGTTAAAAGAAATGGATTTAATTCATAATTTAATATTTCATTCAATAAAGAGTTTGGTGAATCATCAGAAAGATAAGAACTAACTATTTGTCTCATTGAATTTATCAAATTATTGAAATCAATTTTATGTAATGATTTAAATAAAACAAGAAACAATTTAATCACTGCAATTTTTCCATCTTTTACTATTATTTCAACAATTGCTTTTCTTTTAATTACTTCTAAAGGTTCAATTAATTTTAATGTTAAACTTTTTAAAGAAACAGTAATGAATTGATTAATGCTTTGTCGATACTCTAATAATAAATTTGTATTTTTAAACCTTCAATTAAAGTGTATTAGAAAATGTAAATAACAAACTGTTATCTAATGCTGGGTATGTTGTTTTTAATATACAATAAATATATTCAACTAAATTTTCTAATCCATATTGTGATGAATAAAAATGTCCACAGCATTGTGCTTTAATGACAAATTCCATAACACAATAAAATGCATCATTAATATCAAATAACTGAACAGCTTCTAATACCAAATTACCAACATATGGAATATATAAACATTTGCATCGTTTAAATATTTCTCCAAATATTGTTATAAGAAATTTATATCTAAATTTAATTTCACTTTGATTTTTTGGTAAACCTTCTAATCTCTCACTGAATTTATAAAACGTTTTGTCTAACATCCCATTTGTTGTTTGATTAATAATTTGAATATATTTCATTAATAACATCCCCCGTTGTCCAATAAAACAATTTTTAATATAAGATAAATAAATTTCTTTAGTTGTTTCACTTGTTAATGTTAAATAAATTCCATTTCGTTCTTGTGCTAAATCTTCAAGAAGTGAATTTTGATTTTCAGACTTAAATAAAAAACTAAAGTACTTATACCAAAATACCATTTCATTCATTTGTTGTGGAACTATAGTAAGAAGAATTTCATTTAATAATGGAAATGTTGAAATAGCTGTTACAATATGATAATAAATTATTTCTGGTACAGGAATAATCGCTACTATTTTATTGGTTAATTACTTTTTTTCTTTTATTAATGTTCTATACTCAAATTTTTGACATTTTAACTAAAAAACAAACAGAGTTGAGTTGGTGTTGGGTCAGGAATACTAAGGATATCCATTTCAGTAATCTTCTCAATTACCGATTTGTGAATTGTGAAATCTTCAAAAATATTTTCATATTGAAGAAATGGTTGATTGAGAAATATGGCTATGTCATTAGGTTGCTTAAAAAAATTAAGTAATGAACTCATTATATGTCAATTTAACTAATTTATTTTCAGATTCAGAACTAATACTTCTCCAAAAGTGCTTCTATTTTTTTCTTCTTCCAAATTCAATAAATAATACATCATTTTCGTATTTAACTTTAATTTCTTTTTTTTATAAATAAATAGCTTTTTATTTCACTTCTCATTATATCATCGTTTAGGATAATTTCACTCTCTTTAAGTAGAACTACTAAATTTCATTCAACTAAAAGTCAATCTCAAAAATTTAATGGAGGTTGACGTTTCAAATCAACCAAACTTACCAACACCTCCTTACTACAACCGTCTCCATGATATGTCTAATAAAATGATTCAGATGGAACGAGATGGTAAAGTAATGATTGAAAAATACCAAAAATATATCCTTATTTATGGTGCGTTATTAATCGTGTTTAGTACTGGCCTTTTTTTTTATTGTTTTTATATTGAAATGAACTGGATCCAATCACATCTATTTCTGTTGATTTTTACAATTGGTGTAATTGTCAACACATTATTTAGATTGTTTTTACCAATTAAATCATCCTATTATAATGGTGGATATATACCAGTTTGTTCAGAAGAAGAAAGGTCACAGGCTATTGAACGTGCTCAACTTGCTCTAAAATATAATAAAAAACTAATAGAAACAAATTACCTAGCACGCTATTGTATTTATTGTAATCATTTTCTTCCTCCTCGAGCTTATCATTGCATGATATGTAATAAATGTACTTTAGAACGAGACCACCACTGTAGTTGGTTAGGGTGTTGTGTAGGTAAATCCAATTTAAGAGCATTCTGGCAATTTCTTGTTTCTATGGGATTAATTGGCTTTATTGGATCATATCATTTCTCAATGTTTTGGTATGAAATTTTATTTGTTTCAAACATTTGGACTCCATTTAGTTTTAAGATAGGATTACTTTATTATTTTATCATAATGATGACTTGTATCTCTTTCTCAATCACAGCACTAATGATCTTGATGTTGTATATTCATACAAGAGATATCCTTTATGGATTATCAGGTGTAGAAATAGGAGAGTTAAATACAAAAGAACATAACCATGAAAATGTTCATCATCCACCAATGAGTTTTAGTAATTTTAAGAAGGTATTAGGTCCAAATATATTGTATTGGATATTTCCTCTTCAAATAAATTAATTTTACAACTTTTCATCTAGTTTTATTATTACATTATTTTTTTAAAACTCTTTTTTATTTTAAAAAAGAGAGGTGAAATATTACCTTAATTTTCTTTTTGAATTATCATTAGAAAAATGTTTTATATGCCAATTAATAATAAAGAATTGCAAAATATGAAATAAAAGGGGAAAAAAAAAAGAAAATAGTAATAATGAAGGAACTCAACTTATTTCAATGAATAAAGTATTCTTAATACTGCCATCATTATTTCTAATTTTGTTATTCTTATTTTGTGTTGGGTCTTTGAGTAATAAAAAAAGAATAATGAAATATATTAATAATCCTGTATTACATAAATCAAATTATTATGACAATTATTTTAATGTAAGTAACTTTAATTATTCTGGAGATTGCGGAAAAGTATTTAAATATAAAAGACATAACTCACGAGATTTATTATTTTATGGAATTGGTTATAATGCTGAACAATGGAAAAGAAATAAACCTCAATTATTACGTGCTTTAAGAATTACTTGTAGTAGTATTCCTTTTGCAACAAAGGTAATGATTAATTTTAAAGAACCACCACCACAAGACCTCCAAAATGAATTTAACAAATATAATTTTCAAATAGTTCAAAAACCAATTAAAAATGAAAACCCTGTAAATCAAAGATATATAGAATATTATTATTATTTACTTAAATATAAAAAGAATTTTGACAGAGTACTAATTATTGACATTAGAGATGTTTTTGTATTTGGTGATATCTTTTCTACATTCTCAAATCAAGAATTAGTATTTACAACTCAATGCTATGGCATAAAAAATAATGAAACTCGTTGTAACTATTTTGGTCAACCTGGATATCCTTATAATGACGAATGGCTTGAGAAAGGATTTAACAAAGAAATTAGAAACCAGTTTTGTCAAAATAAATATATTAGCCTTAATGCAGGTGTAGTTCTTGGAGGTATTGAACCCATGTTCGAATTTTTAAGAATAATGAGAGACTCATTACTGTCTCGTAAAGAAAAACTTTCTTTTTGGGGTATTGAACAAGCAACACTAAATTATTTATATTATACTAATGCCTTTAAAAAACTAAATACAACAGTAGACAAATGTACTCAAAGAACATGCTTCTCAGATTGGCATAATGGAATGTATAACAATAAAACAAAAATCATGTACAGTTCATTGAATGGATGTTCTCCTGTATTGCGCCATAAAATAAAATCATCAAATCATCCTATTATACTCACTTAATAAAATATTTGTTTTATATAACCTTAATAAACTTTTATTGATAAATGATAAAATCTTAAAATTAAAAAACCATTAAGAAAGAAAAAGAAGATTCAAAGAACTTAAAAAGTACATTGACATTATGGAAATACAAGAAATTACAATTGCCCGACCAATCCCCCAGCAACAAATTTATTTTGATAATTTAAGTTCTAGTTCTTCAGTTGTTACTCCGTCTTCATTATCTTTTGAAATGAACCGACATATTTTAACAGAACAAAGTATTCATTTTGGTTGTCCTCCTCCTGACTCTAATCCAATTCCATTTGGTTCAGTTGACTTTTCTAATTTCCACGCAGATTTTACATCACCGACTCAGATTGAATCAAATGATTTCTCTGAAGAATTTTCAGAGGACAACAACACATTTAATTATCGTCTCTAGAAATGTACATATTATTACAGTCTTTTAATTATTCAATCTTTTTTCCTTATTTTTTTAAGTTACTAAAAATATACTAATCATTGAAAAGAGATAATTAGAAATTGTTTCAATAGAAATTTCAAAATAATACTTTTTTGTTATACTATTCCTTTGTTATATTAATGAAACTTAAATAATAAAGATTAAAACATAAATTAATCAAGAATGAGAGAGTGCTTTTGTTATAATTTTACTCATTTGTTGAAAAATAGAAGTAATTTCTTGATTATCTTTAAACAGTATTAATTTTTCCTTTCATGTGAATTTTCATAAAATGGAAATACTGAAATTAATAAACAAACGTTAATTTGATTGGCAGTTTTATCTATTAAAGTTTTTAATTTTTTTTTTCTTTCTTCATCTGATTTCCAATACATCATAACAAGTTGTTGAACTATTGAATACAATTTAAAACATAATTGTTTACTCATTTCATTTATTTGTTCTTCTTTATTATTCATTTGTATGTCTATTTTATTCCATTCTTCACACCAACCAATAATTTTATTCCAATCAACAATTGTATCTTGAACATTAATGTCAGTGATTGGTTCTCTAATAGTATTCGTTTGTTTTTTTAATTCTGTGTCTTCTAAATATTTTTTTTCCAAAATGGATTGTTTCCAATCATCTTCAATCTTACTGTTTATTTGGGTTTCAGTCCAATCACTATCATTACTTTCATTTTCTTTCCATGTAGTTTCATTTTGCTCAATACTTTTAGTAATTCCCATATGAGCTAATTTTCCATTTCCAGTAATATTAATAATTGCGGTCTGTGTTTTATGAACTTTCATTCCGTGTTTTAAGTAATCCTGTTCATATGGTTGAATACTATACTCTTTTGCCATTTCATCATTAGGAAGTCTATTTCTTCTTATTTCAGATACTTTATAGAGTATTTTAGAATTTAATACTTTTTGCCATAGTAATTGTTCTGAGTGTGTATCCCCTTTTATTTTTTGAAATTCTTTTTGTACTTTCTCATACTGAATCATTTCATTTAATTCATATGAAGATAATATTCGTTTTGTAATTTGATGGTTTTGAGTTTTATTCATTAACAAGTCAAAATCTTTAGATCCAATAGATTGTAGAATAATATCCATCATATCATCATTATGTTGTCCTTCCATTAGTAAATCTCAGATCTCATTATTCCAAGTTTATTCCTTAACTATCATGACCAGCAGACTTCAAAGAACCAACCTTGAACGTGCAAATGCAGACTTACAGGACATTCAAGACATTGCCTCTAAAACCCTTGAACATATCCTTGTCCGAGATGAGAAATTAAAACGTTTGTACTTAACATTATAAAAGAATTAATGAAGAAATTCACAATAATAGAAATGTCAAAAAAAAGTGATGATTTGGTATTTGAGACTGCATCATATCGTGATGATGCAGTTAAATTTAAAAAGATGATCCAAAGAAATAAGTGGTTGATTTTAATTTTTGCAGTAGTACTAATTCTTATTGTAATCATTTGTCGTCATTATTTCTTCTAATCAAATAAAAGAATAGTAAGTAATATGGTGATGCTTTTTTATAATATCTTTGGTTTATTTTCGTTATATAAAACAGAAAAAAAGTATATCAATAAACCAACTCAAATAGAAGTAAAACATTTGTGCAAAGCTTTCTTATATTTCACAAGGTTTTCTCTATGAATTTCTGTTACAAATGAATCAAAACTTTTTTGGAGAATAGATATTTTCATATTTTGAGCTGTTTGAGTAAATTTAGCACCAAAATAGTTAAGAGTCTTAACAGAAATAGGTGAGCTGTATCCTACTATTACAAAAGTTTTTTTCTCAGCATCAAGGACAGCGAGAATAAAAGGTAACCATTTCTTATACCTTCTTGATGATGCTTCTGCAAGAAATTGAGCTAGTTGTAATGCCTTATAAGGGGTTTTAAACTGAATTGATAATAACGCATCACTAACAGAACAAAACCTATATTTATTTGCCTCATTACAACAGGATCCTGACAATAATAAAATGATTCCTGTTTCTACTAAGTTTTTATTAGACTCAATACACTTAGAGAATCCAAATTCATAAGGTTCAGCAGTGGTACTAGATAATAATTTAAAACCTTCCCAGAATTGTTGTTGCCAGGTTTGGTCAGGTTCATCATTAGTGATAATTGACCCTATAGCATGTGCAGCATCAAAAGCACTAATAGAATAATCCATTCCAAATTTTTTAAAGAAAGAAGGGAGAAATAAGTTTTCAAAATGATAGAATTTAGAATATCCTTCCATCTTTAATAAAAACTTATTCTTCATTTCTAATGACATTGTTTTATAACTTTGCTGTGCTTGAGATAATGGAATACCCATATCAGCTATCAGAACATCAAATTTTTCTTTCCCTCTACTTGTCCATATCCCAAGTTTTGAAGCAATTTCTCTTGTATGAAACAATGAATCATATAAAGTCCAATGACGTAATAACATTAGTTGACAGTCCATCTTTACACACATTGGAGTTTTAACTGTTTGAAGAAGGTCCGTTATTTCTAGAGTTTCTAATTGTAAATTATCAATAAAATATTGAATAGCATGAACATATGTTTTAGCATTAATTTTTAATGAAATGTATTGATCACATACACCTATTGCAGCATACCAATACATATCATTTTCTACTTTATTTAATTTTTCTGCAATTCCAAGTGCTACTCTCCCTACACTTTCTGAATAAAATTCTCCATCACTATCAACCATCTTTCTCATATACTCACAATTGTTAAGTGATTGACTTTTATTTAATCCTATTAAATCATCATCAGCTTCAAGTAAATCAGATTTTTCTAGTTGTGTTTCTTGTTCAATAAATTGTTGATACTCATTTGATATAATTAATCCAATATTTGCATTTGCTACATTTAATTTATTAAATGGTCTATGTGAATCAATAATATATACAAAAATATTTTCTATATCTCCAAGTAATTCACTTACATCAATTGAACCAGCACAATCAATAAAAAATACTGTATGAACGTCTGTGTGTCCAATAGTTTCTTTAAATACTCTTGACAATGTTTCATAATTATTAACTGGAACTGCTGAATGTAATAATCCATCTTTTTCAAACATGATTGATAAGATTTTATAACAGACAATAGCATCTACTGTAGGTGATACATATAGTTGAATTGTTTTTTTGTCTTTACCACGATTTCGAAGTCCATTATATAATTCTTCAAAAGAAGTTCCATTAATAATCATCTCACAACGTAGAGTTGGATTTTTTATTTTTTTTTAAGTTTTTATTTTTTCTTTTTTTAAATAACAATAATATTTTTTTATAAGTACTGTTTTACGACTTTTTTTGATGTTTTTGTTTCTTTCTTTATTGGAAGGTATTTACCAAAAAGACTGGGAATAATAATAATAATGAAATATTTAGTAAGAAAAGTATTTTATAGGTTGAAATATTTTTGTTTATAAGAAGATTATTTTATAACTTATTCATTCTTTTAGATTTTGTAATTAATTTTTTAATATTTTTTGTAATAAAACTCTAATACCTTATATCATTTTTATTTCTCATAAATAAAACTATTTTTATTAATTGTTTTCTTTATCAGTAAACAATTTTGAACTATTATGAAGATTTATATATTTAATATAGGACAATCAACAAATAAGTTAAGTATTTTTTAAACAGATATAAAACAACAATACTACTAATAAGAGCGAAGAGAATAAAACTAAAATTAATAGAAAACACGTAGTAAAGATGATTTACAAATTCATAAAAGGAAAGAGTATAATATTTTAATTCATGTAAATATTGACCATAATGGTACGATAAACGATGGTGTATATTATTTAAAAATTGTTCTATGATACTACTAAATAAAAATATATTATTCAACACGTTCTACTGGAGTTAAATTTTTTTGTTATCTAATTATCTTAGAAATTATTAAACTTCTAAATGAAAGTAATTATTGATTTGTTTAAAAATGAGATATAAAATCTTTGCATATGCTAAACTAACAAATTTCGATATGTCATTTTCTACAAACTCAAGAAAACATTATAATGAATTGAAACTTCTACAAGATGTAATAGGAGGTGTTGATTAATGAATGAAAATTACTAAGACTCTAAGTACCCTTCAAATAAAAAATTAGTATCAAGGGTTCATGTACTCGTGTTATCTTTTGTTGAATAAATATTACATCTAAACGGTATCGTACTGATACTACAAATAACATTAATTCAGTTAGTAATGAAATTTATATAACTAATGACTATTACTCTTCATCAGCGGTTTATTTAAAAAAAAGTAAAAATTGTCTCATCTGAAAGTTTAATTGTTAAATAAAGATGTAATTTTCTTGTAATTTCTTAGAATGATAAAAACTTATTTATTTGTCCAATCAAAAAAAAATAAAAAAAACAAAAGTTGGCAAGCAATTAGTTTGAAAAAATCTCTCTTTTTTATTTTAATTAGATGAACAATGAATTTTATTAAAAACAAAATACTCTTTTTTATATTAAAAAAATAAATCCTACGTTAAATTGAAATACTAATATTAAGAATGGTATTAATCTTTTATTTATAGGAAATCTTTACTTTACATTTATATATTTAATACTATTAATTTATCTTCCATATTACTACCTTATAAAGAATTTACTTTCAAAAATTAGTTTGTTTTAACACTAACAATATTTATTTATATATCTATTAAAACAAATTAAATTTTTATTTCGATAAAAACAAAATAATTTATTCAGTGTAGAACTTAAACTATCTTATTGATTGTCTTTTATGTATTAAGTTATTTTCTAAAACATCATTGTACTTACAATAAAAATTCCTTATAAAATATTATTGAATAAATAATCATATTATACATACCACTTCTTTGTTTGGTCGTTATACTTCTATTATAAGTGTTATTATATTGATACTTAAAATCAACTTTGATGTGTTTGTTTTGCTTTATTTCCTCATTCTAAAAGTAATAACTACTCCATTAAATTGACACTAGTAACTAAAGAAGATGGCTTAATTTTAATAAGAGCTCCACAAGAAACCTTTTAATAAATAATATAAAAATAATATTGTTTGAATTCAAAAAAATAGTAAAGGTCAACCAAACATAAACGAAGTAAAATCTTCTTAAATTCATTTTTGAAGTTCTTTTTTCTTCCCCATTTTCGTTTTAAGACAATGCAGTAACAATAATAAAACATACGATTAATTTTATTATTATAAAATACTTTAAAATTAAAAAAAAATTTTTAAAAATAATCAAAAGTAAAGTCAAACAAAAATGAAAAAATAAAAATCTGTCAAAAAAAAAAAAAGAGTAAAGAGCTTAATTCTGATAAATTCTGAAAGATTCGATTAAAATAAACAATGTTCCATAATTCAGGAAAAAGAAGAGGTGGAATGTTTGGAACACAAACTAATAATTTAAAATTGGAAAAACATCTCAGATTTGTATAAAACATTTAAATAATAATATGAGTGACGTAGAAGTTCCTGCACTTGCTCTTAGAGATGCTTCCTTTAGTGAAATTCATGTTGGAGAAGGAGATGAACAAGTTTTAGAGCAAATCTTCTTATCTGATGTTTATACAGCTAAACATGTTATCAGTGATCATATTCATCACACTCCATTAGATTCAAATGCTAGTATTTCAGCAGACATTGGAATGGAGGTTTATTTTAAATTAGAAAATATGCAAAAAAGTGGTTCATTTAAAGTACGAGGTGTTATGAACAAATTTAATTCATTAACTCTTGCTGAAAAGAAAAGAGGTGTAATTACTGCTTCAAGTGGTAATCACGGTATGGCTGTTGCTTATTGTGGTAAACAATTAGGTGTTCCAACTACCATTATTGTTCCAAATTTTACAAACCCAAGAAGAGCAGAAACTATGAAAAGGTATGGTGCTACTGTTATTTTACATGGGGTTACTGTTGCAGAAGCTGAGGCCTATGCTAAAGAAATGTCAACTGAAAAAAGACTTGCTTACATCGAAGCTCGTGATGACGTTTCCATTATCGCTGGTGATGGAACAGTTGGACTTGAGATTTTAAGAGATTTACCAGATGTAGATGCTATTATTGCACCAATTGGATCAGGAAGTTTACTTTGTGGATTAGCCTTAGCTGTTAAAACTCTTGATCCAAGAGTTAAAGTTTATGGTGTTCAAAATGAAAAAGGGTCTTCAGCTTATCTTTCTAAAAAACATCATGTC